TTGCTGGAGACTGGAGTGGATAACATGCATGCATGTTGCAACCAACCAGCGGAGGAAGTTCCAGGAAGGACGTGCGTGCACGCCGGACCGGACGTTCTGTATTCGGCGTCATGGGCGGAGCCACGTGAGGGGCATAGGGGGCTGCGGCCCCGCCTGAGTTTTATGAAGAGCGAAACGTGAGCAGCTTACGTTATTAAGTGCAATATGTTTGAGTGAATTTTTCGTCTGGTGCTATCTCAGCATCTCTTGCCGAACTCAGCACATGGTGCTTCGATTAAAAAATTAGCTTGCACTGCTATATAGGCGCCTGAAGTCTTTGAATTGCTCTCCTCCCTCCCTCCCTCCCTCCCTGGTCTACGTGTAGGAAGGAGAAAAGTGACTTTTTATTTGTTACTAATACTTGATACTTAATATGCTGGACTTCATGTTAGCTTGATGCAATATGCTGGACTGAAATTTACTAAGATATATAGTCTCTTTGACGTGGACTGTGGCTAGCAATACCTTCTATTCTAAACGCTGCAACTGCTATCGGGCACTATAGATTTTTTTTAGCTCCCATGACAATTGGTTGTTGCTGCCTACAACAATTGCTATACTACGTAAAGACAATATATGTTCCGCAAGCATTTCTCTTCTTAAAGGATTGGCAGGCATTGTATTGAATGATGTTGGAGCTCATCCACGGTGTCATCAAACAAGAGTGTTACATATGCACAAGCACTTCATCTCATTTTTTATCTTACTTGCTGGCTTCTCTTGTTCATGGAGCAAGCGCAAGCTGGAAGGTAGTAGCATTTAGTTAGGTGTGGCATGAGCTTATGGAATTGGCCCCCTCTTGATTTTAGCTCAGGCTCCGCCAATGTTCGGCATCTCTCTCTCTCACACACATGTACATACCGATCGATCACAGTACTACATGCTAATTGCTGCTAGCGATCGTTTTGGAAACTGAGAGGAGAGGCAGTCTCAACCACGCCTGGAAACGGAATGGTTGCGTGATCCGGCATCGCAGCTCCTCCTCCTGCTGCTGCTCCTCACGTGGCTCCTCCTGCTTGGAATTGGATAGGGTCAGTGTCAGAGATGTGGAGAGGCGAGAGGCGGCAATCCCTGTACCGTGCCGTGCGTACATCGTCCCGTCGAGTTTTCCAAGAGCGATCGCGCTTCTGCGACTGCCTCTCGCTCTCTCGGCCTAAAGGGTGCCGACTTTTCTTTTGGCTTCCCTTCCGCGCTGGCGTTTCGGAGAATACCGGCCCACATGCGTAAGGCCACTTGTCCTGGATGACGCAACGAGATCCAGGCCCAGCTAGAGGTCACGCGTGACGGCATGTCGACCTGGTGGTGGGGCCGCCCGGGTCAGCCTTCAGCCATCGGCAGAGGCCGCTTTCGGCACCGGAAAACACGAGGGGAAAAGCTCGATCAGGCGGATCAGCGCCACGACTTCAGCGAGCGGCAGCTTGCTAGCTGACAGCGGCGGCGGCGACCGCACGGACGACACCGGGTCCGGGAGGTGGCTCCGGCGGTCCGGCCTTCTCGAAGGCTAAAATCGTATAGGCTTGGACTACCGGTCTTTTACCATTGCTGTCACTTAAAAGTTGGTGGAGAATGACGCGTCAGGACGGGGATCGCTCCCAAATCCCAAGCAATCAATGAACCGAATCCGGGCTACTGCTGCTCGTCGTACGTGTCGTGTGAAACGTAGGATGAACTTGAGACATATTATTGGTGGCCCCCTTTCCGTGCCCGAACGTTACTTCGAGCCGGGGCAAGGGCAATCGCAGCGCCGACACGGCCGGGACACGCCCCCTGTCGAATCCCATGGGTTTGCTTCGCTGGAGCGGCATACTGCGGTTAGCTAGTTAGACATGATCGCAGTAACTGACCCCACTGAAAAAAAAAACTAAACCAACTAGTACATATTACTAGATGGGTTTATTATAATTTTGTACCCACAACAACTATTACATTGGGTACAGCCATAATTTTTTTACACAGAACCCAACCCAACGAACTAACCCGAGAAATAGCTTGACATGTCGCACACTCACACTCCGGTCGAGCTCAGGACAGGGGCCAAAAAGTAGATCCGACACCGTGTTTTACGAAGCCAGCACAGCTGGGTCGCCAAGCTCTTGTGAGCTTAAGAGACCAGATGAGATGGTGTTGCTATGAATATATGATATATATGACACTAACACAGTATGGGCTATGACCTACCAGGGATGATGGTAGGGGTTGAGGGACTAAAACCATTTATATTCAATTACACGGTCAAAATATGAATGGAGTACCAATGTACATCAACCTAGGTGGAGGTGTATCAACATACCCTGTCAAGTTGGCAACACATGGAGCAGGTCAAAGTTCGTTTGAAGTAATGTTGACTCTAAACAAATTTTTGGACCCGGACGACGCAACCCTATAAGTTCGGAAAACTAAATATCAAAATTTGGGAGTTAGGGCCCGAACGAAACTAGTATACAGGTTCAGAGATTTAGATATTCAAAATTCAAGAGTTGAGAACCCGGATGATATCAATGTGCAAATTTAGGAGACCACTAGCTTTTCGAGACCGTGCTATTATATGTTTTTCATTAAGAGAAATTATAGGTTTTATATAAACTTACCATAATAACCGCACCAACATTATAGAACTACTCCTATTTGCTATCAACCTAAAGAACGAAGAGTCGTTCTACAAATGACACCTTTGAAAGGGACGCAAATTTAGGGACCACTAGTACTTAGGATTGGGCTAGTGAGTTGAATTGGCCCTATTCGGAAATGGTGCCAAGTCTTCTCCTGTACGATCGGCTCAGTGATCTACAAACCGGCTCGAGATCGCACAGTTGCAGTCTTGCAGATCGCCGAGTTGATCTACGACGAAATCCAAGCTACCAAAGGAGATCTTGATGCCTAGACCAAAAGTGTCGAGGTTACCAATGTTCATGTTGATGTCCACCCGATCTGCAAGATTGAATCTACATGCGAAATCCTCCTAGCTGATGTGCCAATTGTCATAGGCTTTAGCGTCCGACAATATATTATTATTTTGCACGTAGGGGAATTAGAGAGGTAACATACAAGATACATATTTTTACTAGTTCGGGTACACGGTATCCTATGTTTAGTGGATAACAACTTCTCTATGCGACGTGTGTTCGGTTTGAAGGAGTGCTAAGTGCCAAAAATAACGATGATGTCCTACATGAGATTCTACCCCGTCCTTATATAGTCTCGGAATAGGGTTTACATCGAGTAACCATGATCGTATATGACTACTTTCTAATTGCTAGTTTATTACGAGGAATATGAGTTGGATCCGAATGGATTGGCTTCTAAGTATATCTAGCTTATAGCTTATCTACCAAGTAATAGAGATACATGTTCGGTTTGAACCTCCTCAGAGCCTGTTTGGATGCAAGTGTATTGACTTCAATCCACATGCGTTGGAGTCGAATGGAATTGAATTTAGTTTAATTACACTCCAATCCACTTCAACACATATGGATTTAGATGAATACATGCGCATCAAACAAAGCCTCAGTGACATGCTCGACATACCCATCCTAGTCAGGCTGTTTTGCTTGCTGCGAGAATATCCGAGGCCCATACTAACGCCATCATAGATTACCCTGAAAGCACCAACATGAATGAACTACTCCCATTAGCGACCGACCTGAAGAACTGAAGAGCCGTGCTACAAACGACACCTTTGGAATGGTCGTAAATTTAGGGACCGCTAGTACTTTAGGTTGAGCTAGCGATCGAGTTGACTTGTCTGTATCCGAAAAAAGCAAGGCGAGCCGCCAGCAGCTGGGTTCACCAAGCTCTTGTGAGTTTATGTGAGTACAGCTGTACAGGAGACCACAGACGCTAGGATATGACGGCACCACTGGGACAGGAAATCTACGGCTACGGTCTACCATATCGCCCCGATTTGACGCCCAGATTTGCTCCTACATACTATACCACGGAGACGAAGCGTATCGATGCCGTCGCGCTCACTCACTCACTAGGGTTAACTTTGCCGTACGTGCCCACTACTGACAGGGAAAAGCTACGTGCAAACTTCGCTGAATTTCTGCAGGAAGCCGCCGCGAAACCGCTGGCAGCCATCGCGTCACCTTCCTTCCCTCCGGCGAGGCCACACAACCACGTACTACGCCGTGGCCGCTGGACTCACGACTCACAGACAGTCACGCTCACTCGACGGCCCGACGACGCCAAGCAAACTTGCCCACCACAGTCACGAATCTTCAGGGAAAACACGGGCGCACTGTAGCTTGTAGGCCGTAGGCAGCAGCACAGCACACAACCAAGCAGGTAATCCAGCAGCGTCCGGTGGCAAGCAACCGATCGAGAGGCGTGGCCGCTGGCAGTCGCAGGGCACAGGTAATGTCCGTGGGTTTTTTCTCTGAAAGATCGCTAATGGCCGTGGTTACCACGCGGACACGCCGAAATGGGAACTCCTTGGACCGAAAGCAATGCAACTACGCAAGTGCGAGAGAATCTCCCCGGTGAAAAAGAAAGCCCGGTCGGCCGGCCGGGAATAATAGTCAGAGAGCACTAGGAGCTAGTAGTAAGCTAGCATCTAGCTAGGCCCCGCTTGTCTGCGACATGGCACTGCCAGAGTGCCAGTGCCGCACACTGCCGGACCCAGGTGACCGGCAGGGGCCCAGAACCCAAAGACCAGTCCAAGTGTTTGGTTTGAACCAGAACGCCAGTCAGAGGGTAATATTCTTATTCTCTGGTTAGTCTCCACCTTTTCTTCGGTGACCGGTCTCGGTCCGGTCCAACCCGAAATGATCCCGTTTTTCGTTTTCCCAGCTTTGAACAGTGTCATGCCCCGTTTTCCAACTCTATATAAGTAGCCTCTTCCCCACCGTCGCTGCCACACTCACCACCGAGCGAGAGCTCACACAGACTGCCTCTGCCTTCTCTTCTTGGCGAAGTAGCTGATCTTGCCTTCTTGGCGAAGTAGCTGAGCTGAGGACGACATGGACGGCGGCTACGGCGGCGAGAAGAGCGCGCTGGCCTCGGAGCTGGCGCAGGTGCTGGCCATGGTCCGGGAGCTGGAGGCGTGCATGGACCAGGACCCGCTCCCGGCGGGCGCGCGGGAGCTCTGCGCCGAGCTGGCGTCGTCCGTTGACAGGTCCATCCGCATCGCCAGGTCCTGCTGCGTCCACTCGCCGGCGTCCGGGGCCGGCAGCCCCCGCAGCGACGGCGGCAATGCCACCGCCGCCCAGTCCAAGAGGAGGCAAGTCGATCGATCTTGTTTCATCGGAGTACTACTGTAACAAACATGCGAGTAGCAAGCAGAGCATGACTTGGCAATCCGATCGATGTGTGTACCGCAGGAAGGAGACGCCGTGCGTGAGGAGGCAGCTGCGGGCGGCGTCGGTGCAGGACGCGGCGGCGCTGGACGACGGGCTCAGCTGGAGGAAGTACGGGCAGAAGGACATCCTGGGCGCCAAGTACCCCAGGTCAGCACGCACACGTCACGCCCCACACGTCACTCCCTCATTCCCTTGCACTGTTGCACCAGACGACTCCTTGACGGCGCAGATCGAGCGACGCTGACACGTGTCGGGTGGGTTGCAAATCGATCGCAGGGCCTACTTCCGGTGCACGCACCGCCACTCGCAGGGCTGCCTAACCACCAAGCACGTGCAGCGCGCCGACGGGGACCCGCTGCTGCACGACGTCGTGTACCACGGCGCGCACACCTGCGTCCAGGCCGCGCACCCCAGCGCCCAGCAGCTGCGGCAGGAGCTGCAGCTGCAGCCAGGGCACGGGCACGGCGCCCACGAGGACCAGGACCAGGGAGCCTCCACGCCCGCGCTGGAGACCGAGTGCTTGTGGGCCGGGCTGCTAGAGCCCATGACGCCATACTCGTTCGCCTCCGCGGCTGCTGCCGGCGCCGGCGCCGACTTCGCCGGCTGCTTCCCGCTCCTCTCGCCTACGGCCTTGGACTGGCAGCTGAGGAGCAGCCAGCCGGCAGGCAGCGTCGGGGTCGGCATCGGCATGGAGTTCGAGACCCAGTTCGAGGAGCTGTTCACCAGTGCAACGGAGCCCTTTCAATGGGACCTCTATGCGGACAATTAGATGGGGTATCTGCAGTCAATACATATATATGTGCAGCATGTACGGTAGCTTGTCTTACCGAATTCCGGCATTAGTATTAGCTTCAGAGTAGACTAGAGTGTAGTAATCTTCTGCTACTATCAACAGCTGGGTCCATGCAAACCATGATAACACAGCTCCAAGATGATATGAACTACCGGACAAAGCCCCCCCAAAAACGTTGTACCCAGCAGGCTATCTGAATCTAAATATAGGAGCAAAGATTCAGACCAGGTAATCATGTTGAAGCACTCAGAATCAGAATGTGAATAATTATCCCAGTGGATGTTGTAGTACCATTGCCTATTACACGCTGGACACTGCAACTACTCAGAATAGCGTAACTGGAGACTACAACTACACAGAAATGCGGTAAATATACATTGTTTTTTCTCAGCATATGCACAAAGCAGATTTGCCAGATTTTTTTACACCCAAAACCTCGTTACTAACTAGTTGAGCAGAACAAGAAATACACGCACTCCTAGTTACTGAATGCACCATCAGGGGTACTGATAGACCTATCTAGACAGAACTTTTTTCTTTACTGTCTTGAGAAGCTGCAGAAATCCTCCCATTCGCGTCCTCTTCCTCCAGCTTCCTCAAGGCTCCCCTCAGCCCCAAAACGATAAATAGATTGGTAAGAGTAAGTAGCGATTCCGCGCTCCCGTGCAGCCAGTCAACATTAGATAGCGACGTTCCGTAATGAACTTTTGCTGCAATGGATATCATTGTATCAATAAGTGCACACGGTGTGTATAAGCAAAGAATATAAGGATGGTGAAAATTTTATGGCACAATTACCATAAATCCCAGCAGGTACTGCTCCAGGGATAAAAACCGGTGCATGAAACAACATGGAAACAATTAATTGCACTGACATAATGTTCTGCTAGACAGCTAAATAGTCAGAAACAAAACATTACTAAACTCAAGAGGGCTATGCGTAGGAATTACAATTACACTATACAAAATTTGAAATGTCAGACGACTTGCAAGGATCACTGTGACCTTGGAATCAATTGGTCCGTAAGCTCCAATCACTAAACTAATTCAGTTTCAGGTTGCTTCCTTCTGTAGAACTTTAGAGCTGACTACACATCTCTCTGTAGTTAAAGCTGCATAGAAAATCTCTTCGCGTGACTTCTCCCCGCCTAGCCATCTAACGACACTGGAATAATGGCCAGAAAGCGAAGACTCTCCAAAAAGGAAAAGGTCGAAGATATTTGTTTCAATTAGTCCATTTTAAGACTACTGGTATTTTATCTGTAACCTCAAGAATAAGAAAGTTAAAGATTGGTCTTTGTCCTAATACTCACTGTTTATTTGTTTCAATTGGTCCAGACTACTGGTATTTTTATCTGTTGTAACATCAAGAATAAGAAAGTTAAAGATTGGTCCTCTGATTATTCTAATGCTCAGTTGCTCACTGTTTATTTCTTTCAATTGGTCCATATGTAAGACTACTGGTATTTTTATTTTGTTGCTGAGGCTTGTATGAATGCATGTCTTTCACAAAAAAAAAAGAATTTAAAGCAAAGCAACAATAGCAGTACAGCACCAATCTTCACCATCCTATGCCTCACCTGATATTAAATATTTCGCTTTAGGATCCGCAAACTTTTCTAAAAGAGGTATACTGGAGCAAAAGCCTATGTGATCATATATGAGCAAGCCACTGAGATGTTCAGTTCCTTTTAGACTAATTTATCCATTCTACATAGTGTTCAACCACTAATATCTGTAACATCTTCACAATGATCTAACTGTGGAAGTGGAACTTTAGCAAATGTACCTGACAGACAGATAATTGCCCTCACAGTTTCATATAACTTCTCTTTTTTGAGGTCAACACCGGGGGGAGAAAGGCCTCCCCACCTGAATTTTCATTCCACAGATGCCGGCATAGCCGGGGGGGTGGAAGGGCATTGGCGCCAATCCGATTACAATGAGTTTGGAAGAGGGGGGGTGAGATGGGAGATTACATATTCATGATCGAGCTCCAAAACGCTCTCAGAGCGTAATCTTTCAAAGGCAAGCGGCAGCTCCAGGACCTGATTGCCTCTCTGCAGGCCGTGATGAGCCTGTTCAGGTCGGGGGGAGGCTGCGGAACACGACGTCGTGTCGATGCTTCCAGAGCTCCCAGCAGTAGAGTAGTACCAGGGGGCTCACCGCAGAGGGTGGAACGTGTGGTGGCGGGGACGTCTTCCAGAGCTCAGTGACCGGGGCGATCAGGTTTGGTTGCCATCCAATACGTCTCCAGAAGGCTTTAGCGAACGGGCACCCAGAGATGATGTGATCGGCAGTTTCATCAGCGCCACCACAGATGTCGCAGGTTGTCTCCTGTAAGATGTTCTTGCGACGGAGGGCTGTCTTGCACTGGATGCGATCCTTGGTCAGGACCCAGCCGAAAAACTTGACGCGAGGGGGGGCGAAGCTCCGCCAGACGAAGTCGAAGGAGGGGCAGGTTTGGTCACCACGCATTGACGCCTTGTAGATGAGCCCAGACCAGAGCCGGTGGTCCGGAGTTTCGAAGCAGCACCGGCGCTCGTCCGGTCTCTCCGAAAGCTCGACGTCGATCAGGAGCAGACTTAGGTGCTCCAGCTCCTCAGCAGCTTGGGTGGAGAGGCGGCGTTGCACCGTGTTCCTCACCGCGTACGACGTCGTGCACGGACGTTGCAGCCCCGTCACATGACTGTGGAGAGCCGGCATGAGGTCTGCAAGGGGAGCATCCAACAGCCAGGTGTCCTTCCAGAAATCCGTGTTGCGCCCATCGCCCACAGTGACTGTCGTCATTTTTTGGTATGCTGGGAGCAGTTGCCGTAGAGCCGTCCAATGAGCTCCGGCGAGGTTGCCCCCCAGGTCATGGAGCGTTGCTTGGGTGGCCACCCAGCGCGCCCAGGCCGAGCAGCCTGGATGGTGTAGGCGATGAATGAGCTTGAGTAGCAGGGCGGCATTTTGTGTCTCCAGCCGCTTGACGCCCAGGCCACCATCCTCCTTCAGCTCGCAGACTTCTTCCCACGCGATGAGGCATTGGGCTCCCGACGTTCGGTCAGTGCCCGACCACAGGAAAGATCTGCGCTTGGCGTCAATTGCTGCACAGACCCCCGGCGGCAGGAGCATGGCACCCATGGCGTACGTTGGCAGACTGCTGAGCACGGCATTGACGAGGACCACGCGCCCGGCAGAGCTGAGCAGAGAAGCTTTCCAACCGGCAAGGTACCTGTCCACTTTGGCGATCAGGGGCGCGAAGGCGGACAGTTGCAGCTTGGTATTGGACAGAGGCAGCCCCAGGTATGTCTGTGGAAAGCTCCCTCGCAGGCAGTGTAGGATGTTCACCAGGTCATTCACACGGCCCTCATCCACATTCATGGGAGTGACGGTGCTTTTGGTGAAGTTGATGGCGAGGCCCGTGGCCGCGGCGAAGCTGTCTAACTCTTTCTTCAGTTGTTGAGCAGAACCAGAGTCTGCTCGGACAACGACAATGGTGTCATCGGCGTATTGGAGCACAGCACATGGCCCGTCGTCGGAGAGGGGGTGCCGGATGGCCCTGTTGTTCTTGATCAGCGTCTCAAGGACGTCGGCGACAAGGAGGAACAGGTACGGCGAGAGGGCATCACCCTGCCGCAGCCCTCGTCCACAGGTCATCCATGGTCCTGGCACCCCATTGACCAAAACCGCAGATTTTGATGTTTCAAGCAGGGCCTTCATCCACCGAATCCATTTGTCTGGGAACCCTCGGGCACATAGGATTTGCAGCAAGCTCTCCCAATTGACGGAGTCGAACGCCTTGGCAAAGTCAAGCTTGACGACAAAAGCCTGGCATTAAATTTTCATGTACGTTTCTGTAGACAAGCTAAGTACTGATATACTAAAATCACCAACTTGTATGCTAGAGTGCACTTAACAGAACAATAAAACAAGTTATAAGAACATTACTACTACAATTGGCAAAAGTACAACTTGTGCATCAGTGTACCACCATCCCATTTGCATAGCAGGTGCAATCAAGGTGTGAGGAATTATTACACAACACTACATTTGGGATTTGGCCAAATGCAGACGTGCAAAACTAGAGTAGGGATGGGGATGGGGATGGGATTAGTAACGCGTACTGGTGGCGCCGACGAAGGCGAGGAGGAAGTAGAAACCAAAGAGCGTTAGCCCGGGCGCGGTCTTGGACCTGGTCATGAAGTAGAGGAAGCCCAGGTAGGGGAAGAGCGAGACGGCGAAGAGCTGCGAGGCCACGCTCTGGGAGTCCATCGTCGGCGCCCACGGGTCCACGGGCAGCAGCCCGCACCGCACCACCCCCGCTCTCCTCGGCGCCCTTGGCCTCGTGCTGCGGCGAGTGCGCCCAATGCCATAGCCTCCGCCAAAGGTCGCCGCGGGGAGCCGCCGCGACCGTGCGAACGGGCACGGCGGCGCGGCGCAGGTGGTAGCCAGCATTTGGGCGTGGTGGGGATCAGGGGGAATTCCGTCAGGGGGTGGATGCTTTGCCGAGTTTGGGTGGCTCCCGTTGGTCCCCGGATGATGATGCACCTAAATGGAAAGGGCAGCAGTAGTCAGGACTCAGGACGAGCCTTTCAGCCCAGTAAAGCTTCAGAGTGGGCCGTGGGTCCATGGGCTGGAAAAAAGCATCACGCGCCGCATCTCTCGTACGTGTCGTATTCTGATTTTCCTCCTCAATTACCGAGTCGAATTCCAATAAAAAAATACAAAATTGAATTTGTAACCAGCTTCAATTTTTGAAAATCGTTTGTTTTTGCACTAAGACGGATTTAGACAACGGTTTTATGTAATGGGATGACACGTAGTTGTGAGGCTTAAATCAGACTTCATTGATAGTTGATGTTTAATAAGTGTTAAAATTGTGTCGGTTTAATTTTTTATTGATTTAAGTTTCGTCAGTTATAAAATTGTTAAAAATACTTAATTTTTTGGTACAGATATAATACAAAAGAAATCAACTAGATGGCCAGATTCGTCAAGTTTCCATAGTTTGGTGGTCAGCGACGATATTTGATTTTTGAGTTAAAATCGGAATCTCGCAGCGATCAAAACGGATTACTCCATTTTTCAAACAACCGACAACCGGATGTGAATGTCCACCCGCCGTGTAGGTGTAGATGTGGTAGATTCGATGGCAGGAGGGAGAGAGATACCGATACGTCCAGATATCGTCCAGCATCACGGCCAACTGCGGTTAACTACTTTCCATAATTGGGTTAGAAACATGTTACTCTCGGTCACCATCTAAACGAGCAAATTGCACGCCAGCGTGCAACTAATGCTCCTCATGTAAAAAAAAAAACTGTGGTGTGGTGGTTGGTGCACTATATCTAGCCATTTTAACCAATTTAATTAATGACGGCACGTCAAATACCATACCATCACAAGCTACTATTGCTCGTTCTTTTCTATATGTCATATTAGCTTGTCAAATATTACTATTTTTTACCATCTATTTTTTTTAAAAAAATATAGTTTCACAACATATAAGTTACGGAATATATATTATCAAAGTATTTTTATAGCTAAAACATAAATCTTATATCATAAATTTATTTTTTTTTAAACGATGGTCAAAGATATTATTAATTAACATTTGATTTAGGACAAAGGTGGTAGGACGAATATTTGCGCAAGATCGGCTACGGCGCGAAATGCGTTGAGTTGATCTTTCACGGAGCGTCCACGTCCATTCCAGTTCCAGGGTGGAAATTAACTGATTAGCTGAATTGGAACTAGGAGATTCCCAGCTGAATCTAGCGTGATCTAGCTGGCTCGATTATAAACATGGCAGGCAGTAATCGTCAGGGTTCCCGTGGCGCTATCACGAATAATGGCCGTGGACCGGGCCGAGGAGGCGGCGGCGGAGCACAAGAAGCCGGCGGCGCAACCGCCGTCGCCGTGGGACTGCGGGACCCCGCTGTACGACGCGTTCGAGCTCGCGTCGGTGCACCGCGTCCTCGACACCCACCTGATGGCGCTGCCGTTCCCGCGGCCTCCGAGGCGTCCGTGCGACGACGCCGACGACGCGGCGGTCCTGGCCGTGGCCGTGGCGAAGAGGGCGACCGCGCGGAGCCGCCGGCGCAGGCGGAGCGCCGTGGGCGTGGCCAAGGCCGCGACGCGGACGGGCAAGGCGGTGCTGCGCTCCTTCATCTGCGGGTCGGTGGCCTGTGGCCGGAGGCTGTGACTGCGAGGACGCACCAGGAGCCCGCCCGGCGCCCGCCGGTCGTGTTCGCTCGAGCTGCCACAGCTAGCCCGCTGTCTGGTACTGCTACGGCTACGGCTACGGCGTCCGTGTCGCGCAGCTGGGAGCAGGTGGAGCGAAGCAGGGTGACCGGGCCGGTTTGGATTGGATTGATTTGGATGGAGATGGTTGGACAAAATGTTACTGTCCATCTTCAAGTTAGATTTCCATTGCCATCGGTTCCTTTTCCTTTCAGATTCGTTTCGTTTTCAGTTCGTCGTGTTGACAGCGTGCGCTATTATTTATATTAATTGTCAGCGAACAGTGACGAAAATACCTCGTAATAGTAATTCTTAACTCGTAACCTACTTTCAGTTCTATGTACACTACACTGCTACGCAAACTGACGTCTCAAATAAAGTTCAGTGAATCGATCTGCTGCCCGAATTTTTTATAATTTGACTCTTTTTTTTTAAGTTTTCACGAATAGACCCCTGACGGAAAGAATTTCGGAAATTGACCCTTAGCTCGGCGCTAGCCACTCTAGCGCCAAACTCCTAGGCACGGTTCGTGACCTGCCAGGGGGCTCGGTGCTAGAGTGACTGGCGCCGAGCTCGACGTCGTAGATCTTGGCGCCGAGGTCCCTGCATTTAACCTCGGCACATCCTTTTTGCCCGAGCGTTCTTCCTCTTCATTCTCCTCCCTCTCGGGTTTTTTTTTCTTCCCACTTCACCCTACCTCACGAATCGGCATATTGGACTTTGGAAACCTTGATTTGATCCGTAGATCTTCGAGAGCAAAGTATCATCGCTACCCTCCTAGTTTTTTCGCATCAATTCGGTATATATTAGTCGGATTTTTGAACGTAATAATCGTCATCACTTAGGGTTTCATTCTATCCCTCAATATATGTATTATACAACCGTAGTATGATGTCTAGGCGTGGAAAAGCTAGCTAATGTAGGCGCATGTAGTTATTTTATGGGTTCATTGTTGTGCATCAAATGGGAAACCTTAGGTTTAGGGTTTAATGTTAACTACTTTCGGTTCTTAAAACGAAATTGGTTGTATTGTAGTTATGGTTCTCATTGATATTTATTTCTGAAGTTTTAATTTATGTTTGTTTAAGTACATCCACTTTGTTAGATGGAAGAAATGTTTCGGGAGGAGTTTTGGCGAAAACGGAGTCGTCCTCGAGAATTATACCCCGACGCGTCTAACAAAGATGCCCCCGTCCCTCCTGACCTCCCTGTCCCTAACTTGTGACTGTGGTCATCCGGCCGACGTGTTTCAATCGAGACATCCGGACACAGCGGCTCGTTGCTTCTACACATGCAGTTGTTTTAATGTAAGTAATTGTTTCGACTATCATTTTTCTTTATTTGTGTAAGTATGCTACTAATATCCTGTTTGAATCTCGTTGTGTAGGACCATGAGAGGTGATTTTTCTTTCAGTGGATCGACGGTGCAGACAAGTTTGATCCTAAGTACCTCCTTTTCGACGATTGATTTAGAGGGAGGAATCCACATGACCGCTTCAAGCGGTGGGTTTCACCCCCCTAACCCTCCGCCAATGACGGCTAAGGAGAAGCACCTAGCCATAGTTAGATGACTCGAGGAACCTCCTCTGTGCGATTGCGGAGATCGAGCTGTGATAAACCCTGAGAATACGTTGGAGTTTGTATGTCCAAACAAGCATGAAGTAAGTGCAAAATGTATGTGTTAAAATCTTGAGCTATATGTGTTCATGTACTAATGTCTCCTTATTTAGGTGTTTTCAATGGCGAAGTGTCGTTTCAAGGAGTGGTTGTATGGTCCTAAGAACCAATGTCCGAAAGAACCGCGGAGGGTTAAGGAAAATAAGAAAGAAAAGGTAATCTACAGAGCACCTCCTGTCATGTGTGAATGTGGTGTTAAATTCAACTATGGCCTAGTCCATTCGGAGCTTGGAATATACCATTATTGCGGCCATATAATTGAGTACGAAGAGGTTCGTTATTTTTGTGGTAAACATGAAATCGTATTTTGTTTCTTTTGGTTAGACATATATGATATAATATTTCTTTTGAACAGAGCACTAGGAAATGCAGGTGGGAACGTTACGATGGTCAAGCTAAGTTCTTGGATGAACTGAAGAAGAGGAACTAATTGCACGGAAGAGGGGATATGGACCTGACTACATCAACCTATTCGTTAAACATCACAACGAAAAGATGTGTGAGTTTGCTAGACAGAGCGGTATTTGTAATCCGATCGATGTTGGGCTTAACAAATAGGGATTGGAGAGGCGGATGACGTTAGAGGAGGAGAGAGCAAGCAAGGAGGCAAGGGAGAAGACAAGAGTACAGATGCAGGTCTTGAACGAGTATGTTGTTGCATTATGTGGCAGTGAGTGCTTATAAGCCTAATTTTTGTTGCCTGATTTTAAATGTAATATAATCGCGTTGCTAACTGATTGCATTTTATACATGAAGGGATTGGTTGCAGCGAGGAACATGCCGCAGAGGTGGCTCGTGCAAGGTATGAGGAGAATAAGTTAGATGACCATAAATTGCGAGCTAGTCGCACCATTCAATCACCGATTGTGTTGTCTGATGAGGAGGGCGAGGATGAGGACAACACTGGAAGACTGAGTGAGCTCATTGCTCTAGCGGAGGCGGGCATGCAGGCGCAAGAGGATGACGATGACACTGGCAGGCTGAGCGAGCTCATCGCTCTAGCAGAGGCGGGCATACAGGCGCAAGAGGATGACGACGACACTGGCAGACTGAGCGAGCTCATCGCTCTAGCAGAGGCGGGCTTACAGGCGGAGGAGGATGACGGCGCGTTCTTCACTCAGGCCGCAGCGGCCGCAGATGAAGCGGAGGCCGCTTACTACAGGCGAAAGGTAGGTCAGAGCAACGCATGTGAGCCTAGCCACAGCAAACAGGGCTGTGGTAGAGGACTGATACTCGGATGATGAGTTGCTTACTCAGTATGTTTCGGACTGAGGATTTGAAAGTGCATTTGCCCCTAAGTCTACTGTCGACACGTACTTCTAGTAGTAATATGTTGTGTAATTTGGCATAGTATTGAACTTTTAATTATGTGGTTGTTTTTATTAATTATGGTCTTAATATTCCGCTTAATGATACGGACGTATTGAAATGTGAAAACGTGCTGCAAACAAAACCTAACGACATACGGCATTATATAAATCAACACACGAAACACATGAAATGGCATGTGACTACAGATTTTCCTTCGACTAAAC